TCTCTGCAATTCTTCAGGTCTCCATTATCTGGGTGTTTCTTGTTTCTTCAGTCCAACACCCACAGCTAGCAGGAGTGGTTATCCTGTGGTCACAGAATTTATCAAGCATACAGAGATATTAGTCATACAAATAAGACATAGAGCCCTTTATTAAAAGCTGTTAGCGGGAAACTAAGCTTTGTAAATTTTTTAAATTTTTATCTGTTAAATCCAGGTGAATTTGAAATGCCTGGTACTTTTAGAAGTTATGGCTTAGCTGTGTGCAGTCCTACAGCCAGGCCATAATGCAGAATGACACTTGGGTTAGAGAAGAGCTGGTACTGCACCAATTGTCCATATAGATTTTTACTGAATAAGCTCCATTTCAGTGTCTATATATATTGACACCAACTATTTCAACTTAAAATGTTCTGTCCAGAAGATTACAAATGCTGATGATATTTAATATGACATTTTAAAGACAAAAGGCAGCCATGCTGGGCAGAAGTGATGGGTTAGGAGAAGGACACCAGAGTGACACCATTAGTTAAAGGTTAAATAAAAGCTACTTTGTGACACATGCATGCAGAATAACAGGGATGCTTGTTACCTTCTGAGTTACTGGGTTCATAGATGCTACAAATTATAAGGTTTATAAGGCTTAATCTAAAGCATTAGATGGTTTTGCTGAGTTGAATTTTGCTTGCATTACAGCATGCCTCTAAGGAAAAAAAAAAAAAAAAAGCAAACTTTAAAAAACCCCAAAGTCCTTAAGAAATCCAGAAAAGGCTGCCAGTAATGTGAAATGTGAAAGATATTATATTACCTCTTTTCCTCTGTCTCTCTCTCCCTCCCCCTCCCCAGCTCAGATATGTGGAAGGTACAAGAGTCTGCAATTCTCTGCCAGGTATCAAAGGGGAGCTCCCCCATCTGAGAGCAGGAGTGCTGAGCATGATTCAGCTGGGAGGAAACATCCTCTGTGCCATCATCAAATGATGAAAGCTGTGGCTCTGGATTGTACCAGCCTTTGAATCTCCTGCTTTCAACCCTTTTGAGGGAAAGGCTTCATGTATTTGTGACCCCACAGGCATGTCCTTTGGAGCTGTAAAGGTTGTAGATGATTTTCATGCTGCACAAGTTTTGTGTGACTTAAATTCACTACCATGAATGCCTGGGAAGTGAATGCTTGGAACTAGAAATAAAACTGATGCCAAGAGTCCAGCTAGATAATAACTGTGTAGGGCTTCAAACCTCCAGAGTGTGCTTAGAAGCATCTTACAATGGACCACAATTTTTTTAATCACTTTCACTTTGTCCCTTGTGCAGCCCTACAATTAAAAAGTAGGTTATTATCCCTCTCAAAAACATATCAGAGGTAGCAGGAAGGGATACTGTTATATAGCAGAGTGAATGGATAGAGTAGGATAAAAGAGAAACCCATCTCAATGCTGCTCTTCAGGTCTCAATGAATGTGAATGGAGATTTTGGGGACTTGGCAGTGTTTTGTTCTGAAGGTCAGCATGAAAGCTACTGGGTGACCTTTCTGTTTAATTCACTTGGATATTTTGCAGATCTGATGTTGTACTGAGGCTAGAAGAAGTTGAAATATGTAAAAATAAATGGCATATTATCTAAAGCCATGCAACAAGCAGCTGTTTCCAAGGTCCACCCAGTTTTGTTAGCTCCGCACTGCCTTCCTTGCTGCTAAACCATTTCAATGCCACTGTGCAGACCAACAGAAAGGTCTGACTTGCAGTGCAACATGACTGCATCAATCAAAGTTGTGTTTTATTAAACTAAACCTGGGGATGACTAGAAATAACTACAGCATTTCACATTGTGGTGTGGAATTCATTGCAGATACTTGAAAAAATATTCTTGATAACAAATATGAAAGAGAGATTACTAAGAAAGCAGATGCAAATGCTACTTCATTGCTTTCTTAAGCCTTGGTAGTGAAGAGTCAACAACTAATACAAGTGCAATTAAAACTTGGGAGCCATACTTATCAAAAGAGTGAAGCCTCCAAAATTGGCATCAGAGCAGTCCCTGCTCAGTGGGTGCCCAATGTCAATGATTCAGCCTTTGAACATAAAACACAGAGTAAATGGGATTGTAAACAACTGGCACACAAAGAACACAACAGGCAAAGGCCAGGGTGTCCCTGACCCAGATGGAGATGTATGTGCACAGCAGCGTGGCCCATAGCATTCCAGCACAGTTCTATATGTTTCATTGATTAGAATAAAAAGACAAAAATCCTAAGCCTTGTGATCCTGAGTTTTGAAATGTTTCAGACTAGAAACACTCTTATTTGGAGGGGAATTCTGATGCAACACTTCCATTTTTGTGGTACATCACCCAGTGTTACTTGGACATCATAAAAATCATTTTGTTTTCTCAAAATATTTTTCAGAGATTCAGCTTGAAACTGCAAGCTGATGTTCAGATATTTTTTTCCTCTAGAATGTGGCTGTTATGAAGAAGCAGAGTTTATTCTGTGTTCTGTTGATCACCATAGTAACCTGCACTCTCTGTATTTAATAGGGAACAAAAAGTTATTTATTTGACAGGGATGGAGTTCTGGGAAGCAATGGTTTATGAACACTGGCAAAATATTTTAATGGGGCTATTTACTTCTCAAGTTGTTAATGTGTACCAGTAATTTGCTCTTTATCTGTCATGAAGACCTCAGAAGATGGAATTGATTGTAGTTAAAAGGTGTTCATTACAGTTACAGCTATTTTCTACTCTTGGCAGTTTTTAAATAAAGCTGGACAGTGCCCTGTTGAGTCCTGATTGTACAATAAAGGTATCTTGCTTGCTTTTGGGCTTCTTTTGTATTCTCAGGAACCAAAGGGATTCCTAAACTGCAAACAAAAGAACAACTGACAGATATTTATTGAAATAATGCTGTTTCACATCAGCACAGATCTATTTTTTTCCAGCCCAAAGGGTGAGATTGCCCACCAGTTTTTAATTGCTCCTTTATTGGTGTAAATTGATTTATTTTATGAAATTACTTTCAGTGTGCTAATTGATCTTTTTGCCTGCTTACTCTTAACAGGGATCAATCCATTGATCTGCCTCACAGAAGTGGCCCCACAAAATGCAGAGGTGGCACAGACGTGGCAATAACTGGGATCCAGTGGGGGGCAGAGGAAGCTAAAGTGGTTTTTTAACCCATCCCCTTGTTATGTGGGACTGGCATCAAATCTGCCTTCTTACTGAAACTTCCCTTGAGCAAATTTTGTCCCAGGGGGAAGCTGTAGGAAAGCAGGGTAGCTGCCCATGCAGGTTTTCCTTTGTGAAGAGAATTTCTGCACTTTCAGTACCCTATGGAAACACACCATGATGTGACATCTTCCCCAAAAGGTTTATAAAGGAATCCATCAGGAAAAGGTGTGCTCATTACACTTCTCATCTCTACCTGCAATGAATACTTCATTATCAAATATTATTGTTATATAGCTATAAACCACTTAATTTTTCCTACCTTTACAACTTATCTAAACCACAATTACAAACACATATTTTTAGGCAATGTCCAGTCCCTCATATACTCTTATATTTTACCTATCTTTTCTTAAGCATTTTATCATTCTGCAGTGAACCATATTTTACAGTGAACACAATTTTAAAGCTTGAATTTCACCAGTCCTATAGGAATTGTTTTACCCAGAAGACTCAATTTATTTCTTCTAACTCAGGAAGAATTTTGATGTTAACTCTGAGATATTAAAGGTATCAAAAAAGAAAAGGAAAGTACAGCTATTAATTCAGAATTTTCATTTTATTGGAAGCACAGGTCCGGTAATTAATATACTTATTTTATACATTTAAATATACATTATACCCTGCAGAAGCAGATGCAATCAATACCAAGCAGCAAGCAGAATGTGAGTATCGATTGTACAAAACCCCTTTCACACTCATGTTATCAAGGATCTTTTCAAACCTCTATTCTTAGGAGCACCATTTGGAGGATTGTGCATGTGCATGTGTAAAATGAACTGCTATTATGACTTCATCTGTGCGTGTGTTGGCACTGCAGACAGTTTTGCTGAAGTAATAATTTGGTGGTATCAAGAGGCAGAAAATCGGATCACGGAAGCACAATTCAGATGGAATTGCTGAGTAAGTGCATTGTGGTTTTTTCTCTCTTGTAAAGAGATTAAATACCATACCTGGATAATATTTCATAAATACCACACACAGAGTACTTATGAGACAGATAAGGCAAGGCTGGTAGCACAAGCAAAAATCAGAGGAAATGTTACCTGTGATAGATGCATTTTTCTACAAGGAGCTCACTGGGAATGCAGAGGTTTTGCCTCAAAAACCAGTTAAGGAAAATTTTAGCAATGCTTTTTAATTCCAAAACTTGCAGAATGCAGGGGTCTGGCTATGGTGTGATTGATGGTTTAACTTCAGAGACCAGGTTCAGAATTTTCAGTGGCTTTATAGCAACCTAATACTGCACCAACTCCACTCTAAATGTTCAAAGATACATAAGTCTCATTTTCAGATTTATTTAGGGCAAGTTTATGTAGGCAGACTTTCACTGGATTCATTTGATATGGCCACCACAAACTAGTTCTGAATGACAGTCCCGAGCAATCATTCAAGATCACAAATCATTCATGAACAATATAACTTTTCTTAAAATATTAAGTCTGGCTGAACTTACCAAACAGTCAGGACTAGTCCAAACACTTCAGTTAAGAAGCACAAGCACAAGATACTTGTCTAACTTAAAGCACAGACAGGTAAAATTTCAATTGTCCTTGCAGCTTTATCTGAAAAACAGGATTACTAAATCTACCTTTCACAAAGCTGGGATGCATTTAAATTAAGTGATATTGGATACATTGCATACAATATAAAAATCTTGGATGGGAAACTGCATAAATGCAAAGCATTAAATCATTAAAGCCCACTGTTTATGCTCTCAGATTCTAATGATCAATGTATGCTTATATCATTTTTCCATAACATAAAATAGTTATTCTTGAGGTAATGGAGAACAGCTTGTAGAGAACTCACATATAGGAGTTGAGCATAAATTATGCAGCAAAGAATTTACAGATATTTCATTTCCTTTGCAAATGTCATCATTGGAGAACACTGGTGACAGATATCACACACAATCCACCTTTTAATTTACACAGAGCCATAGTACACAGGTCACACATACCAAAGAGAAGACTTTTGCTCAAGAAAAGAAATACAACTGTAAAATGGATTTGCTTGCACAAAGGCATAGAAGTTATCAAATAAAGCAGGAAAGCAATATTGATTTTGATATAGGCACCCCTAAAGATACAGGCTTTGCAGAGTCAATAGTGTCTTGATTTAGGTTCTAACCCAACCCCAAAGTCTCAGACTCGGCTCCATCCACTTATTGATTTGTCTGGCATGCTGGGTTTTTTTTTTTTTTTTTTTTTTTTTTTGTTTCTTTATTTTCCAGAACTGCTTTTCTGCTCTCAAATTTTAGCTAGCTCCCAGAAGAATGTCTAATACAGTCACAAAGAGCAATTCTGTTCCTTACAACCAAGCTATTGACTATCGTTATAAAAAGGAAAGACAGAAGTCATGTCAGCTTAGCTTCTCACAGGACCTCACAGTGCTCCTTCATTCAATAACCAATTATGTAATCAACAAGCAATGGCTAATGAATTGCAAAATATCAGCAGCCCTTAATTTTCTATCAGGTATGATAAAAACTTTACAAAGTTGGGCACTTCTTGAGAAATAAAACACCTTGTAACTACCACCAATGCATCAGTTCTTTGATATTTTGCTACAATATCTCTTCTATTTTTTTTTTCTCTCTAGCTACCTGACATCTAAATGTCTATAATTCTAGATATAAAGACCACATGTCAGAAAAAAAAAAAATCCACAGAAAGAGAGCTTCAAGATGTTATTTTTGCCATTTGTAGGCAATAGTTTACCTGATGTGCATCTTCAACACCTTTGTCCTTATATGGGCAGGAAGGGGTTTAGATAAAAGAGCACAAAGAGATGGAACAGTTCCTTTAACAAGTCTTACTTAACAAATTTGTTTTTATTAAATTTCTACACTAAAATTGAAAATCTTTAGGTAGGGGCAAAAAAGCCCTGATGATGAATTATCAAGGAAACCAGTAGAGGAAATAAAGCCATGCTTAGAAGAGATTAAAGAAGTCATAAAGTTTTTCATAAAAGTAGGATGCAGGAAATAGAAGGAGACATAAGTGATTGATTGAGGTGCAAATGTATGTGTGGGCAGGAGGAAAGCAAAGGGTAAATTTGTCTGGGGAGCAAATCCATTTAGGTCATTATAGTTCAATATGGCCATGATCCAGCAAAACACTTGAGCATATGCTTGGTTTTAACATGACTCACTCCCAAAAGCTGCGCTCTGCTGACTTGTTCAGACTCAGGTTTGAGTGTGATTTCATCAGTATCCTCTCTTGAATTGTGCCACCCCTCTTGAAAGCCTGTAAGACAACAAACTGAAAGATGGAATGGCTTTGGATGGGTTATCACCTGAAGAATCCATTCTGGACACAGCAAACTGCACACTCTGCTTTCTGTAATGGAACGAACTTAGAAATGGAAACCTATTTTTGCAAAGAGAGAGGCTGAAAAAGAGGAATGTCAATAGCAGCCAGAGGGGATGGGACATCAGGATGTTGCAAGCTTTTATTCAATGAAAAACCATGCTGAAATTTTGAGACATGGCACATGATAAGCTGATGTGAATGGCCCAAAATTACCATGCCTTTAGTACTTATTTGTGGGGTTCCATCAGTGGTGCCTGTGCTTGCAGGACCAGCTCAGGACCACCCCTTGTGCCTCAGGAGTGCCCCAGGACAGGGCAGAACAGCTCCCCCTTCTCCAAAGTGCCTCTCTGAAAACACTTCATGTCACAGTCATTAACTGCTGATAACAAGAAATGAATTCTTTGATTGTTCTCTCTACCCTAAGTTTTGGTGAGATTTCTGGTCAGGGAAGAGGAATGATTTTTGGAAGCAGTCTTACTAAATCTGTGGCTCTGAACCATTAATTTAGAGCTGATTATCTCATGAAAAGACCACAAGCTTAAATTTTTAACCCATCTTCTCATCTATAGGAGTTCATTCTTTTTCCTCTCTAAGCTCCAATGTTGCATTTTCTAGGGCAGAAAGAAATAGCATCCTGGCTTTTCAGAAATGAACAAAGTAGAAAAGATTAGATACACAATACAAGTCAGCATCACCAGGTACCATATTTATTTTTCTTAACCCTCTTTCCTGGGAAATGGGAATAGAAAGATCACAGCTTTCATTAAACAATAAAATTAATTTATAATTCTCAAGATTTCAGAGAAAAACATTAAAAATAATTATTGTAATGTCACCACAAATATCACTTTGACTTCTTGAATTTTCCTCACGTTTGAGCAGCCTCTGAGGATGCAACAATTGACTTACATAAGCAATTTGTAGAATAGAGAGACCTGCTCATCTAATATGACTCAGAGTTCATTTTCCTCTAGGAAGCTTTGCTTATGCACAGGAGCAAACATCTACATATTAATAAAACCAGTATGTTCACAAGGTATTCTTTCAATGTTATTAATAAGCTACTAAGTAAAAGGTTTCTTTGAAACAATTCAGAAGTTGAAATTAAAAATGGTGTGTCATTTTCAGCATTTTTATGTTTCATTTATTTGTCAGACTCTCAGTCAGCAAGATGAGGTGGGTGATAATTATTCAGGGTTGCCAATTAACCTACTTAGCAGGTCACACAGGTAACTGGCATAGATTGTGTCAAATCTCATTACTGGGATAATAATTTAATCACTCAGTGCATTGACTGAAGGCCAGAGAATCTGGAGAATAAATTAAACAGGAAAATAAAATTAGTAGCTAGAGAGGCATTATATTTAAATACATGAAAACAGTAAAATTATAAAGCATACTACTCAGTAGTAGAAAACCAGTGAAATCTGAAATGGGAGCTGGGGGCACTGAGAGTGGGGATTTTCAACCACAACTTCCAGCTTGTGCATAAAAAAGTTATATGTCACCTTGCTCCTATGGATAAAAGACAGTTTAACCCATGAGGAGGCTGTGAACACGTGTGCTATTCTTTAGCATTTAAATAGATATGCAATGCAATTACCTTGGCTGCAGTGTGGGAGCCCAGAGCTGCCCAGGCACACCTGCTCTGGGAGCTCTGGGTGACAATCCTGGCCTCTCCCCTCCTCGGCATGCCAGCCTTCCTCAGCTCTTTGTGCCCGCATTCAGAACAATGACAAAGGAATGTCAAGTAGGAAGGTCACATAATGGATAACATAATCTTGCAGGATCTGTCAAAAAGGACAGGAGAGATGGAAAAATTACAATAAGTAATTGTCAAAGTCATGGAGTCTGTGAAAAAGCTTCTTCTGTACAATAATGCTCAGCATTTACAAGGTGACTGAGTACATAAGAGAGAGGAACAGAAGAGTCTGCCTGGAAGTGGAAAAACATTTTCTGTGCAGATGGAGAAAAAAACTACTGGAAGGAACAATAACATCTTTTAAGGTGGTTTTATACATACAGGTTACATGTGAATTTGAAGCTTGTACCTGCTTTAGAAAGAAATATAACCTTTTCTAGAAATTATCAAAGTTTCATAATTCAAAATATAGACTAGAGGAAAAAAAAAAAACCACAAAACACTCTTAATGCCAAGACTTAGCTAGTCCTGAATGTGTGAGGCGTGAGGTGTCCCACAGCGCAGACAAAAGTACATGCAACTCCAGGAAAGATGAGAATATGGTGAACTTGCCCTTGTCTTCATGGTCTATTTCAATGGTTTACTGCCTGCAAGAACAAGAGGGCCATAAAAGAAGCCATCACTCCTCTGAGCAGTGGATCATTCAGTTTAAACATATCTCATAGATGTTATAGCCAAGAATTACAGCACACTGAGCACTGCTCCAGGACTTGTAATTTATTCACTCAGTAGAGAAAAAAAGTGACTTCCATAGCAGCACTTTATAGGCCTGTAAAATAAAAAACAACCAGCATGAAAAAAATAGCCACTGGGCCAGGAATGAGTGTTGGTTTGGCAAGGAATGAAAATTTGGTTTGGTTTTTTATAACAAGGAGCAAAACCACATGCTTAGTGGATGTGACCAGATCACTCATTTAGACTGTCAAATATATTATTTTGAATCATAAATTGTCTTGTTACTGAAAGATTATATACTAAAGCAGAAAGGCTTACCATATCTATTCCAGTTCTGGAATTACAGAAACAACATGCAGCTCTTAAATGTCATTTTACTTGTTCCCACAGAATGTAAATGTTATAGTAGTCAATAACTTCTTAGACCTTCCCTTTTGTTTTTTGAAAATAATAAAGCAGGGCAGGGTTATTTGTGGATGCTACCCACTAGCTCAGGAGTGCCAGATAACAGAAATTGCATGCAGAAGAAAAATCACTTTCACCTCATTAGTAGAAAACTCAACACTGATGAACTAAACTTTCTCATTAAAATTTTCCCTGGTAAAAAAGCGAAAAGCTTAAAGATAATAGATTTATTTATTTATTTAAACATAAAGCAAGAGCTCAAAAGTCCTGGATAAATTCAGTGTAAGGGCCTCTCAGGAGATATCAGCAGTTACAGAAGACCCACAGCTACCAGTCTGCTTTTCTGGTTCATGTGAATATTTTCAGTGTTTTCAGCTCATTGCTATTTTTTATATATTAGGTACAAAAGTAATAAATGGCTAATTAAATTACACAGGCTACAGTCACAGACAAGAGTGACAGTGGGTTAGGAAACTCCATCAGAATACTGAATATTTCATTGCCTAGCTATCTAGAAAAATCAGATGTTATAAATGCTTTGATAAGGCAAAAGCGTTGTTGATTCACTCATTTCCATTATGATCTAGTGAGCCTTGCTAACAGAGGTTAGCTCAGGGCACTAATACAGCCTCAGCAGCATAATTCCCATTTTGGGAAGTCAGGATTTGTCCTGTGCAGGGTTTTCAACCCCAAGAGTGAGCACCAGTGTGGGTCCAGAGGTGCCTGCTCTGCTCTGCTGTCAGGGACCACTGCAGAGACTGGACCCACAGGAACTGCAGCTTCTTCAAAGGTGGATTTTTCAGCATCAGAGCAGTTCTGAGTGATCTCTGGAGAAAGGATCAATTAGATACTTTGGCTTCTCTTCATTTATTACATTTTCCATTGAAATAATGTTTCCCATTGTTCTCTCATTTATAATTCACAGTCAGTAATTGTTGTGAGCAGTAACCCCATTAGGCTGTTGTCTTAGTATGATGTTACAACATTCAATTTTAAAATAGTGCTTTCCAAGGACACCATTATCCTTCAGTTGCAACAATCACCTGTGTATTTGTTAACTAAAAATATAATGAGAAGTATTAGCCCATATTAAAGTACAATAATACAGTGTCAGAGCATTTTGGACAGACCTGGACTGGTTGAAATGTTACTCTACACGTCCTCCCAGCAGTGTGTACGCTTGAATATTCCTGCTTAATGCCACCCTCCTTCATTCCCCTCCTTCCTCAGACTAACTCTGACTTTCATTCACTGTAGAGGTGACACTAATTCCTGAATGCCTGCACAAATTGTACCATATACCCCTGGGACACTTTGGGCCAGGGAATGGCTGCTTCTCCGTCTGCTGAAAACGGCAACTGCTCACAGCTCCTAATTTCCACTGCAAGGAAAAAGGCAGGCTTTAATCAGAATAGGGCAGACAAAGGAAGAATTTCTGAGCCTCCCCAGGGCTAAAGCAACACCTCCCCAGGGAAGGTAATGCAATGGACACCCCAGCCCTCCCCAAAACAGAACTAAAAGTGCTGCAGGGCAGCCGCCTTGTCCTGCTGCCCTGCCAGCTCTCAGCCTCACCCCTCCTTAGGGAGTGCTGTCTCACTGCTCCCATCAGCTGCAACCTTGGGGACCCTTTGCAGAGCATCCACCCAAATGCCAGGGCTGGAGGGCAGGGCACTGCTTTTTCCTCCACCTGTCATGATTGCCTGTTTCTCTGGACAGCAAAATGGGTTTAAATCACTGCAAGCTGCAAAGAGCCTGGACCACTGTATCCCACTCCCTAGGCAAGCATTTTATCACCAGGCTGTATTTTTTACAAATAGATACCATATATTATACTCAACACAGGGCACAGCAATCCCTCTTCAAGCCCTGGTGAGAAGAGCAGTGCTGGAACCTTGGTCTAGGACACAAATTAGTCCCATATAACTTTCCATGCTGAAGGTGTCACTGGCTGCCTGCATCTGTGCTGGGCACTTCTGGCTCAGGAAATGACAAGTCTTTTGGTTCAGGGCTGCAGAACATGGCTGGTTTTTTGTTTGCCTCTGTGGCTTTCCCACTGCTCACAGAAGAAAGCCTTTATCTCTCAGTAAATGCAGAGCTGAACTAAAACATTGTCAAGGATTCCTTGCAAAAGCACAGTTTACTTCTCAAGATAATGCTAAAGATTCCCAAGTGTAAGAGCCTGCAACAAAATGTTGCTCATTTTAAATATAATGCAGTGAATAACCACGGACTTTCCATAACAATCATCATTTAGTGAATGTATAAATAGAATAAAAGCAATATTGAAGCAAATAAATGACCTCTGACACCAAGAACGAATTGCATTTCATATTACTTTACTTAACTGCCCCCTCCTTCCCCCACCAAACAGAAGCTTTATTGACAAAATGTGCTCTGGTGATTTAGTCTGTAAACTTAAAGAATGTGCAACTCTGGGAAAAACTGAATTATGGATTCTATTTGTCAGACAAGGAATGGCATGTAATAACTTAATGAACTAGAAGCTTATTAGTTGTAAAAGAGAGAAAGCGTTGTCTATCAATCTCTTTTATTTTTTTAACTCAGAAATGTTCAGGTGGATAAGCATCAAATCCATTTCGCATTTATTATCTTATGAATACCAGTACGTGCTAGAATCTCAGCAAGCTACAAAAATATATCTCAGCCTCTAGTTTAATGTGCATTTTATTAGTCAGTTTTGGTGGCTCTATTTGAAACCCAAGCCATTAGAATACGTGCTCACATATTTGGCACTTGCACACAAGAGCTACCCTGATTTCATCAAAACTGTGCAGTGAAAGAAATTCAAACACAGTGACAGTGACACTGACAGTAACAACTGTGTTTCAATAGCTATTTATTGCTCTATGGACACGTAAACACAAAAGGACAGTAAGATAATTTTAACAAGAAACTTGTAGAGAAACCAACCTGCCTAATATAAAATGGAAGAATTGAATCCTTGGTTGTTAAAGAAGTTTTCTCCACTTTGAAAAGTACAATAATTTATCTCACTTATACTTTCCTGTGGACCTATTTATTCTGCACAATGGAGTGGCATTTGAATCGTGATATTATGTGTGAATATGCACAAAAATTACAGCAATAAGGGAGTTTAAAATCCATTAGATGCTTCTCCCAATCTTAGCTGATATTATGCCTTAAAAATACATGATAACAAATAGGACTTAGTCCCAAAAAAATACATAAAATACATGTGCAAGTAAAAAAAAAAAGGCAGAAAGCAGGAAATTCCAAGTTCAAGCTAATGCATACAGAGATATATGTAGAACAAAGCAGTCAGGTTCTGATCTATCAGCCCAAATATTTCATGTGCTGCATAGATCCCTGTGTAATTGCAATTTTAACCCTGCACAAGATCGATCTGCTTGCTTTGATTTTCTTTTCCAGAAATAAAAATAAGCAGGGAAAGAGAATCTGCATTAATTTATGCCTCTCATAGGCTCCTGTGGATACCTTTTTTGGTTTATTGGTTTGTTGGAGTTTTTTTTTGTGTGGCCAGTCTAGCAGCAGATGTCTTACCCCCATCAGGCTATTTAGAAGAACAGTCCTAGCCATTCCACTTAATCAGGTAATAGCACACTATTGACATATTAGACCAATTTAATACATTTGTTTTCTTTATCCATTTACATTTCATCTCAAAGGTCTCCAGTACAATGGGATTTTGAACTATTTGCGCTGAGCGCAATCGAAGGGCCAGTAATCCAATAATTTGATTTTCTTGCTGCAGAGACCAGGAGAGAGGGAAAACCATCTTTCTCTTGCTCCTGCAAGCGAGCTGCAGGCCTGCATTAGGCATTTAGCTTCCTGTGTAAAACATACCCCAAGGGCAACAGAAGGCCACTTAAACACAGCTTGGAGGGCACCACTGGAACATGGCTGTGGCACGTTGGCTTTCTGCCCAGGAGTAAATTCCAACCATTAGCATCAAACACTCATCCTGAAGCTCTCCAACTGAAATTAAATGCCATCTATCAAATGAATAAACAATAATAAAGTAGCACAAGTGAATTAAAAAAATAAATTGCAGTAATTTATACAGTGGATCATCTGTTCTGGGTAGCTGTTCCAGACTGTTTGCCTCAGATTATCTTTCAGCCTATTTTTTCACTATTGGATTTTTATACATGTAAAACAGCCTTTGATATATGAATTGAATTTATTCATACTCTATGCTACTCCTACTAAAAAATAGTTTTAAATAAGGCTTGTTTTTCCTATGCAAATAATTTTGTTTAATTCTGCCAGTCATAGGTTGAGTCTACATGAGTTGTGTCTAAACAAGAATACAAACAACAACAATTAAACAAGCAAAAATGTACCTTTAGATATCTTAGCTGGAACTGCACATTC